ACTTCACACTCCCCATATTCCACATACTCCACATTGGCTGTACACACCCCACCATCTCGCAATATTCACACTCGTCACATACCATATCGCCAATCCAGCCGCAAAGTGAGTAGCATCAAACGGGGTGCGGCGAAATGGATACAAAAGGTACCGCATCAACATCTGGCGTCGGTCCAGGTGGTATGAAGATTGGCGAAATGAGTGGGAAAATGATCTAAAACAACGTATCCACGTCGTTTGTACGCTTTACTATGATTTTGCCACAACTCACAATCCCAATCAGACTTTTGCATCTCGGACCGTTCTTGCTTGCCTTAAAAGTGGCATCGGCTGACTGGGACTAGTTACCGCGTGGCCAAGTGGCAACATGTCGCCAGTTTAGGCGCTCCACCCGGTTCCGAGTCCCGCTTAGGCCGCAAAGGGGGCGAAGCAAGAGTGGGCATGGCAACAGAAGTGGCCCCATCCTTAAAATGTGTGTGAAAAAGGCACACTTTTCGTGTTTTCATCTGCCAAAAGTGACTTGGAATGGATCGAGTGCACATACAACATGTTTCTCTGCTTACATTATCGGGCTGCTGCAGCGTCAGCACAGCGCGAATCGGCATGTGGTAGTGCGTTTCACTGACCGCGAGCTGTTTGGTGGCGCAAATGAGAAAAAAATACAAATTCACAAAGCAGCGCAACAATAAAACGCATTCCAGCAAGACATGCGTAAAATGGGCAAATGCATTTTTGCAAAAAAAAGTAAAGCAAGAATTCTGGCGTCTTCAAACGGCACTCGAGAGTGAAACGACCCTCGACTTGAAGTGCAGTCGTCATGGCAACGCGCTGATACTATATAACATGTATTCAACCTATTTCGTTGAAGGTGATGAAAGACCGGTAATTGAATTTTCCCACAATCATGTGAATTTCACATAGCCTCACTTTCCCAAAAGGCCCATCCAGTGGGACTCGAACCATGAGAATTCAGCGCGGTTGCCAATTTCAGGAAGGCTCAGACATTTAAAAAAATGTTATAATCTCCGGTGAGATTCTCGATAAAGCAAGGTTATATTTAATATAGCTATCGACTACGTTACCCATTTTTATTTTATTAGTAGGCTCGAAATACTACTTATAAACGAACAATAAGTAATGCATCGAAGAAAGCCTGAGTTCTGCATAATAGCCCAATAGAAGTGGGGCTTGGCAGAAAAGTGATGGC